GTGGCCGTCATGCTTAAACTGTTTTTATTTTTTCGGTTAGTAGATGCAAGTGGTTAGTTTTAAAGGAGAAACGGGTATATTGAGAATTTCATGTCATTACACATTTGATAATATAGCCATAGGTACTACGAGATAGTTCACCCCACCACATCGTTATATTCTGCAGGATTTAAATATCATCACGTGTGTTGTAACTGCCATTTTGTAATTGTAAAATAGCATTGTTTTAATATACAACGTATTTCAGTGTTAGTTATGACCTGTATTATGTTCATTGAAGAGTATTTTCGAAATTACTCTTAGCTGTTTTTTGTGACTTAAAAATAACAAACATAAATCTTATCGAACAGTGTACTGGGGCAATAGGATTTAAACTTAGTTAACCCCCAATTTTTCCAATCAGAGCTGTGACGCAATTTATCAGACACCAGGAAACATCCATACATCAGCTACAATCTAAATAGGTTAAAAATATATTTTTTTTTAAATGATGTAAAAGTAATGAAATAGGTGCTTGGTAAGAACATCAGTATATTGGGGAAGTGTATTTCAGTTGGATAACTCTAAGCTTTAGAAAAAAGTGTAGTAACATGCTTGCCATCCTGATTGTTCGAAAAGCGGCAAATACCTTTCAACACGAAACTACTACTGATGTCCCACAACACCAAAAGAACTGGCAGTGAATCGTAATCCTCGGGCAGTCTGCTGTGTGAGAGATTTTCTTGGAAATGAGAGTGTGTGTGTGTGGAAACCGGAAACGTCTTGACGCCAGCGTAGGTGGGAATATTTAACACAGTCTAGTGGGCTTACTTATAATAGTACGACATCTTCGGGCCAATGATAATTACAGGTGATAGACTGCAATATATCCTCTTGTCTCACGTGCAATTGGTGAAGTTCATTAAACTAGAACAGGATTGTAGGATACAATCCCCCTGTCCCAGTCTATCACAAGAATTGTGCAAACCAAGTGATTACAGTATTTTTTATTTTTTTTTGCTTATCCGTATGTGTTCCTAAATATCGCCACGGCTCTGGCTGCAGCTTAAAACAGTATGGACACAACTCTTTGTTGTTATGATTTATAAACTTTTTACTAGAGCTTCAAATTGTATTTTGGTGATAAATAAATACCGTTGTTATAGCGTCGACAAGTTTACCGGCATGTTAGGTTGACTGACAGATTTTCATGGTACTGTTTTTCTTTAGTTTGTTTGTTTAGTTTGAAAATACTAAATGTGGGAATTGGAAATCCATTTATGTTTCAATTGATAAAGTATATATACATTTTTCTTACAGTCGCCATACTGTAGTTATCAGTGGCATAACTACAAAAGATGGGCCCTACCGCATAAAAAAGTATTTGGGTCCCCAAAATTTATCCCTCTTCTTGGCAATTCTTAAGTTTGTCAGGCCCTTCGCCCCGCCCCACCCCCGCCATTGGGGGTATACTTACGCTCATGGTAGTTGTACTTTCCAAGGCAGGTTTTATTTCTTATCGGTTTATGATTGGCTAAATTAATTTAAAATACGTTAACATTATCCTAAAAACTAGTGGACTGCAGCAAGGTATTTTTTTTTATCAAATGCTCTCAATTTGTTTCTGAAAATAAAATGTCTTTTATTTCAAAGATTTGCCTTGCAGACACAAAAATATATAAGATTTTTTACAATCCTAATACAAAGGAGTAACATTGTCAAAACATTTTGTGTTTTTCTTCAAATAAGCCTGGCATTTCATACACTAGTCACAAACAGTATATTGTGGCTTGTTTGTCTGTTGAATTTCGCACAAAACTACTCGAGGGTTATCTGCACTAGCCGTCCATAATTTTGAAGTAATAGACTAGGGGGAAGCAGTTATTCTACACCACTCATCGCCAAATCTCGATCTGCTCTTCACCAACGAATAGTAGGATTGAACGTTACATTAGAACGCCCAAACGGTTGAAAGGGCAAGCATGTTTGGTGACCTGTAGATTGCGAGCCGAAAGACCTAACAACCAATTCATGCCAGGCCGTATTGTGGCTACTTCATGTGATCACTTCATATAAACAAACAGCAATTGAAATAAGAGCGGAATTTTGATGTTTCTTATGTTCACCAAATATTCCATAATTATGATTTAAAACTATTATTAGAACACTGATACATATTTCATTTTTGATAACAATTTACAGTCGCCATCATTATAACGCAACTTCCAAACGTTACTATTGATGACAATTTGCAGTCACCTTCATCATTATAACGCAACTTCGAAACGTTACGATTGATGACAATTTGCAGTCACCTTCATCATTATAACGCAACTTCCAAACGTTACGATTGATATACACTTTTATCAAACTTCAAATTAATTTGTAAAGTATATTTCGTGTTGTAATATTTTTTAGTATTTAAACAGGAAACAGTCATTATAAGACATCGAAAAAAGTTTTATACAAAAAATAGAAACTGTAATAATAGTACATTAACAAATGATGCATCCAGAGTTATCAATAGATGCCGCCAGAAGTACTTTTTATCCACCTACTTGTATGTTACTTTTAGGGACTTGCACGGTATATACAGAATATTTCGAAAGAAATAGTAACGAAAAGTTGAATCGTTATATATATATAAGAATGACTGGCAGTGCATATTAATGACAAATATTCAGCGTGTCTTTTGTGTGTGTATATATATCTAGTTTCTTTTGGCTGTTACGTATAATTAGAAGAACCTTTTTTTTCGTATCATCGTTGTATGTATTCCCAGTACCATCTGCAACATTTATGTTACAAACTTTGTAATAAAAAATTGTCATAAAGTTTAACCTTACAAAATAGTTTTGACCAGTTACTAGTGATACCGAATGCTATTCACAAGTTTACTTGCTGAGAGAGAAAATGTCGCATGTCAAAGTTTCAAGAATATTTAATTGATTGGCACCGATCTTATTTTTAAAAATGTAATTTTAATCTACGCCAAATTCCCCTGCTTTTTGTTTTGTTACTTAGTAACATGTAAATTTGAACGTTAGTAAAATGTACCAGAAACTGATGCCAAACGTTTAAA